CGCTATCCCATCTGCAATGATACCATGACGCGATCTTGGGGCTCAGACTCGTCCTATGACCCGGACTATTTCACCCCTATAATAAACGAGCTCATAAGGACGCGATACCCTTGTCACACGGAGAATCGGCTATGTCCGCGGGAATTTCACTGTGCCACTACTAGCGACCCTCGGTGCTCCGATTTCCCTTCCCCCGACCACACCTACTACTTCACCCACCCGGGATTCGTTGAGATCACCACCAGTTTCCCTCCTTTCCRCCTCCTYCTCCCGTATCATCAACTCAGTGTYGTCCCGTGGCCGGCCATAGCCCCCTATTGGCCCAACACGTTTTGCGTAAACTGCCGACGCAGCAGCGCACAAAGAACCCCGGAATTCCGAAGGCCCAACCCAACTACGCGGCGGCCTGCGCCTCGTGGCGGCCCCTGACAGCCTAGCTTTTCGGGACCATCTCCACCACGGAGGAATTTTCCCATAACCCGTCGCCCGCAGTGTCCCGGCCCCTTCGGACTGTGAGGCCCTTGCGTGCGTACCCCCCCCCGTTCGCCTAATTGCGTCCATACCCCTAAGACTCCCCCACATCCCCCAAAAATCCTTGGCACACCCCTTTTCGCACTTCCAGGCCCACACTCCACTCCGATCAGGAAGTCGCGCTGGGCGTGAGGTTTGGGCATCACACTGGCTGTAGTCCAGGGCAGATGAAGGCCGCTGCAGGCCGCGTGGTGGTATTAACATGCTATTGCAACCCGATATGAGGAATGCACTTCTAAGTATGAGGAATGCAGTTCTAGGTATCACAGGCAGTGTCTAATCACCTGACCCCCTGGCCAAGGTCTAACATATGCAACGTCAGGGCCACCACAACTTCTGGCCCTAGCCTGCCAAATCTACAAGGCCGACCGTCCCCCACTTGAGAAGACCTTTAACAAGCTTACTGTCTGGAACATGACACATGCTGCCCGAATGGCTGCGTCCCCGCGTGGAACGCGGTATAACAGTGTTTCTGGCCAATACTTGCTGAGTCAATGCTTCAACTGAAGTCGCTCCCATAGATGGACTAATATGGAGAAGCCTTTTCTCCCACTCCCAGTCGACCGCAAGGCTGGGTCTCAAGGCGGTTTGACCAACGGTTGATCGATTGTACCCCAAACGTTCCCAACACCCGACGATTCACCGCAGGCGATAATCGTCTTGGTAGCGTTCCCACTTCCCCTCACCGCCCGCCCACTGCAAGCCTGGGTGACTGGGTCTGTTGCTGGATTGACCAACGGTTGATTTTTTCCTACGTTCCCAACACCCCACGATTCACCCCAGGCGATAATCGTTTGGTCGGCAGCGTTCCCCCTCCCCTATACGTTTAGTGTGGCAGGACCATCCCTCGACTGCCGGTCATCATTCGGTCGGAACTGACTGATACAGTTGTCGTCAACCGATCTGAGGCTGGGGGAAGCTTCGTATTTAAAGGTCAACCTGCGCTTGAGAGGTATGTTAAGGACGGAGGGGCGCCCTGTTGGATACGGTTGATAGTAGCAAGAGAGAAAGAATGTGGATGGTGGCTAGAGAGAACTGTGCGTAAAGAATTGGAGCAAACATTAATTTCGTCTATTCGTCTACTACTCAATCCAATGACCTGTAATGGTATCCTACTATCCATGCGAGTATTGGTTGCTGTATGGGCTAGAGAGGGAGACCTTGACAACGGGAGTCGAAGGTCGAAGAAGCTTGAGCTCGGTGGCGTCCATCTTTGATGGGACTTGAGTTTGTTGGCGTGGTGCATCGTGGGGATTCGTAGCTTACGGGTATCGAGGAGGAGGTGAAAGAGCGAACAGCGTGACGAGGGGTCACAGTTGGGCTCACACTCCGCCGTCACGGGCGGGCTCAGACTCCCCTGTCACGGGCGAAGGACGAACAGCGAGGCGAGGGTCACAGTTGGGCTAACACTCCCCTGTCACGGGCGAAGGACGAACAGCGAGGCGAGAGTCACAGTTGGGCTCACAACTCCCCTGTCACGGGCGAAGGACCGGCTAGCGTTGCAGACGATTATCCAGGAGTAGTAGGAGGGATACATGAGGGAAGGCAGCTAGGAGGACACTCGGTGCGATCGCTGAAAGGGGTGATAGAGTGGGGGCGTTCTTCCGAAGGTCGCTGGGGGGCAGATGGCGGCATCTGGTGGTGAGGATGTCTCCCTGTCCCTCCCAGGCGAGGCGAAGCAGTTCGTTACCAAGGCCCTGGAAATGGGTTCTGTGGCGATGCAGAGATTCGACCCGGTCAACCAAATCTGCAAACATATATGCGCGTATGCAACCGATTACCCCCCCGGGCCATCGGCCGATTGGCCTCCAATCATTGTCTTCCACGTTTTCTTGCTCTTTTTTTTTTTTTTTTTTTTTTTTTTCAATATCAATGGGACGACGCCGGGGACCTCACAATTCAACCCGGAGTTATCCTGGCAGCATCAGCCAGTTTCGCTTATGAGAAATGCTCGATACGCTGACTGCTGATCCCTAGCTGTCCACGTTTTCTTCATTTTGGTACACTGATATTTTTCGGCGTTTCCGCGAATGTCCTTTCGTCTTTCGTACGTCCCTTGATTCCCTTCCTCGATTTGCCCTTTTTTTTTTTTGTGTGTGGACCATTTCTCGATTTATGCGTGTCATCCTTGAGCAGGGGCCATGCTAATCTTCTCTTTATCGTTCCAATTTTAACGGCGATGTCCCGAAGGACCGTTTCACCTTTCCGTTTGCTCCTTATTCTTCTCTTTCCTGCTCCTCCAACGCCTGTCCTCCTCCCTGCATGTTATTGATCATATGCCGATTAGTAGCAACACGATACACACGTGGTTGAGCAGAGCGCGATATTTTGCACGCCGTGGTGATGTGCACGGGTTGGTCGTCGGAGGATGTTGGGGCATGATTTCATGATATGTTCCTGACTCAGACGAGCCGGGGTGTTACCGTCTTCCCCCGAATACAACGCCCCGTGAGAATGGTGCTCGGTCATTGCAGCTGTGTATTGGGTTTGACTTCGTCTGCATAAGCGAGCGTGGCCGTGCGCTGTATTCGGCGGAAGACGTTAGCACGGAAGCATCACGAGGTTGCGCGTTAGCGCGGAAGCATTCCGCGAGACGTTGGTCGGTCTGCTTGTGGTCGTGTTGTGCGCACCGCGGGCGCGTTCGAGCGTGAGTTGAATACGTTACCTCGGTTCTTGTTCTTGAACTTCAAAAATTGTTTGCGTAGAGTCGAAATCAGCAGCTCGAAGCTCGCTTTTCTTCTCCTTGCTGTGCGACCGTTGGTGCTGTGGTTGTTATATATACGAGTATGGGGTTTCCATGTTCTTTTGTTCGGTGACTTCCTTCGTCCCCCGAATACAACGTACGGTCATTATAGCTGTATCTAGACTGAAAGATGCCTCAGATAGAGCTATAATGACCGTACGTTGTATTCGGGGGAAGAAGGTAGCACAAGATTCAATAACAGCCGTTTGAATGCAGTGTGAATTCGCTTCGCCTAGAAGTGAACGCGCTGAATCGCATCATAAGTGCCTTTGTGCTGGTTCAAAACTACTGTTAGTGAATCTGCCGTTTCAAAACGACTGTTAGTGAATCTGCCGCTTCGATTCAAGTCAACGTTGAATGGCATAATTGCCTCGTGATGGTTAGCTACTGTTAGTAGTAAATCTGCAATAATTTTGTCCGCTGGCTCTGCTTGATGGGGTTTGCCTCCTGCTTCAGCCGGCTCTGCTGATGGGATTTTCCTCCCGCCGCTGCTGTTTCCGATTGTGTCGTGGCGGATGCTGGTGATGAGGATTGATAGACGTCGCTGGTGATATATATGACATTGTATGGTTCCGTTTTTTAACTATGGATATGGCAGATTTGTTGTGGTATTTAAGAAAACGTTAGAGAAAGGACAAGGGAAGAGGAAAGCGTATTAGTCAAACAAACTAAATGACACATCCCATTTTTTATGTATTTTTCCCCGTTGTTGGGGTATTTTGTTTTGTTGTGGTAGTCTTGTCTGCATCCCGGTTAGTTTTGTCCCGTTATTCGGTCTAAGCAGGTAGCGGTGCTTCATGTGGGACCAGTCATCTGGGCTTTTTTATTGTTTTTGCATCCTGGATGGTTGTCATCTGGGCTTTTTTATTGTTTTGGCATCCTGGATGGTTGTTTCCCGTTGTTCGGCCTTTCGGAACGCGGGGTGGTGCTTGCATGTGGGAATCGTCATCCGGGATTATTTTTCATACCCGTCCTCCGGGTTCTTTTTGATTTTTTTGCAGGCAAGAATGTTTGACATCCTGGCTGGTCTTGTCCTGTCGTTTGGCCTGTGGGCAGGGGCGGTGCTTGCATGTGGGACTTGTCACCTGGGATCTGTTTTGTTGCCCCCTGTTCTGTATTATTTGGCTGTTTTTTTGCAGACAAGAATGTCTGTGTGCAAGTGGGACACACGGAGGTGGGGGCAGCCGCCGCTCAACCTACATCCACGTGGGCGGCCTTGTACGCAAGAGGTTCTGAACAGGGGGAGTTGTAAGGAAAAAGATTAAAAACGAATTTAATTTTTGTTGTTTTTTTTGTTTTCTTTCTGTTTTCGCTTTGGCGCTCTGATATCAAGTGACAATATATATGCTAACAGGGCTGGACAGGTGGTCACTTGCTGGTGCTGCTCCGCACTATTTAATTTTTCTTATTTTTTTTGTTTCTTTCTGTTTTTCGCTTTGGCGCTCTGATATCATGTGACAATATATATACTAACAGGGCTTGACAGGTTGCTACTTGCTGGTGCTGCTCCGTACTATGTGGCTCGGCTGCCGTTTTCCCCTGACTAGAAGAAAGCGCGGTCATTATCAACGTACCTAGACAAGAAATTTGCCCAAATGCAGATAGACTGACCGTGCGTTCTACTCCGGGGAAGACGGTAGGACGACTGTCACCGCCACTACGTTGATGGTACTGCTACAGACTGTTGCCTCGGATGTCCATGGCGGCTTATGACAGTCCTGCCTTCGTCGCCCCGAATACAACGCGTGGTCATTGTAGCTATTTCTGTTTTTTGGAGGTAGCTTTCAGTCTAAACACAGCCTTCATAACCGATGATGACAGCGGAGGAGAACGGGCGGCGGTGGAGGAGGCTCTCTTTTAAACTGACTGGTCGCCGGTCTAATTAATGTCGTTCATTGTTTTTTTTGCAGCTTTCATTTCTATTCACATGACATGACGCGTCAGGTCGAGGCGCATCATTATTGCTCGAGGTTGAACGAAGATTTTCAGCAGTGCGCTGTGTACGATCGAGAGGACAAGGACGCGCGACTGATTGGCATAGAGTACATCGTCAGCGAGAAGGTGTTCCTTAGTCTTCCTGAAGAGGAGAAGAAGCTGTGGCACTCCCATGAGTTCGAGGTCAGAGGGGGGTTGGCGACCATTCCGTATGTACCCGAGGTCATGGAGCATGCCGAGCTCAGCCCTTTTGCCAAGACCTACGGGAAAGTGTGGCATTTCTGGCAGATCGACCGAGGCGATGCGCTGCCCGTGGGGCCTCCACAACTGATGATGGCGTTCAGGAACGAGGGGCAGATGGATGAGGCTCTGCTCCAGGGTCGCGACAGAAGGTACGGGATCTCGACTGAAGAGTTGAAGCGGAAGCGCCGCGATATCACCGGTCCGGATCTCGGTAGGCATCCCTCGGCCGACTGGTGGGAGGGGACTGGGAGGAGTTATCAGGTGAAGCTGAAGGAAAAGGATGTCGACGCTGCTCCTGGGTGGTAGCGTTTCCCTCCCTCTGTCGTACCTTCCCTCGCTCTTCTTGTTCTTCATTGTCTTCTTCCATTCTTCGTGGAGAAGTCCTTGATATTGTCGTTTCGGGGCCTATTCGCAGACCTCTACGTAGCAATAACATCTGAGGGTGGCGGTATCCCTCGGCCGACTGGTGGGAGGGGACTGGGAGGAGTTATCAGGTGGGCGGGGTAGCGTTTCCCTCTGCCGTATTGTCTTTCTTCTTCTCAGCGAACCTCTTCTTGTTCTTCATTGTCTTCTTGAATTCTTCGTGGAGCAGTCCTCGATATTGTCGTTTCGGGGCCTATTCGCAGACCTCTATAGGTAGCTACATCTGAGGTCGGTATCCCTTGGCAGACTGGTGAGAAGGGGGGACTGGGAGGAGGAGTTTTCAGGTGAAGCTGAAAGAAAAGGATGAAGATGCCGCTCGTGGGCGGGGTAGCGTTTCCCTCCCTCTGCTGTACTCTCTCTCTTTCTTCCTCTCAGCGAACCTTTTCTCTTCTCCGTGGATTAGGTCGGTCTTCGTTCTCGTGAACTATGCTTGATATTTTCGTGATTTGTAGTCCACGGCTGTTTGCAGACCTGTGCGCAGCAAACATATCCGGGTCTTTTCCGTTCATGGAGGTAAAGAAACAGAAACAAAATAGATGATTCACACTAGTCCACGGCTTCCGTTCATGGAGGTAAAGAAACAGAAACAGAAACAGAACAGAAACAAAATAGATGATTCATAGTCCACGGCTGTTCGCAGACCTGTACGCAGCAAACATATCCGGGTTTTTTCCGTTCATGGAGGTGAAGAAACAAAATTGAGTTCCGATAGATATAGCAGTGCCTCTACCAAGAAGTGGACGAAGATTCTAATCAGTAAACACAGTACTGATTCCTGGCAAACTTTGAAGAAAATACAGAGTAGGAACCAAACCGGACTTCCCACCCCAGCTGGGAGACTCTCCGTGGTTCCCAGTCGCTGCGGTGGGGGAAAAAAGCCGGTCTGGCAATCAACAACAATCAACAACGAAAACAAAGAAACCGAAAGGAACATGAAAACCGAAAAGAATCAGAACATGGCACCGCGATTGCCTCTCTCTCTCTCTCTCTCTCTCTCTCTCTCTCTCTCTCTTTTCCACCTTCGCCACTTGCCGTCTATATTGCCCTTCAATGCCTGCGCATGTTTGATCTTGTATCTGCTGCATCTTGTATCTACATACTCCCTGGTTGTGCAGAAAGTATATTTGAGTTGTAATCGTAGGTTCTGGAGATGAATGTGGTTTTTTGACGTCTCATTTGGTGGTGGTGGTGTTAATGAAGGCAGACTAACCGAGTTCTGCCAGTAGAACGTGCTCCAAATTTGGGCAGGGCATTACGTAATTGGTTCACAGGTAACGGCGACAACGACTGTGCGGTCTAATATACTGTGACAGTGAACTATGCGTTCTATTCGGGGGGGTAATTGGTCCACAGAGAATGCGTTCCATTCGGGGGGGGTTATTGGTCCACAGAGAATGCGTTCTATTGGGGGGGGTAATTGGTCCACAGAGAACGGTGAGAATGACTGTGCGCTCTAAGATACAGTGACAGTGAACTGTGCGTTCTATTCGGGGGAAGACGAGAGCGGCCAGTGCAGGCGGAGTGAGGCTGTCAGGCTGTGTCAGCGGCGGTAGTAAAGAGCGGCAGAGGGTCTAATCGTGTCAGGCCGATGGGCAGTGATAATGGAGAGAGGAGTGTTTTGGAGTAGCGTGGGTGCAGTGCACCGCCAAGGTTAAAGCAATTGCACAGGCATATGATGCACGGCGCATGATTTCATCGTCTGAATCAGTGTTTGCAGCAATTGCTCTATCGGCCACAGTGAAGACCGTGAATGGTGGAGTCATGGATATTTTGATAGAGCCGCATGCCAGATAGTAGATAGTAGAATCTCCCGGACACAATACAGGGTTCTCCCGCATGCGAGATAGTAGGTTCTCCACATAGCCCAATTGAGGGTGCGTTGTGTTGGCGAGACGATGGTAGGCGGCGCACCCAATGTCACAACGTCAGATGAGGGTGCGTTGCGCTCGTGGGAAGAGTGTAGGCAGTTTCACAGAACGTCATATGGTGAGTTCGTGTGACTCTGTCACTCTGCTGTTCCTGTTCGGTAGTGGCCGATCCCCTTTTCCTTACTGGTGTGTGTGCTGAAGGTAGCCAGACTGTTCTTGTCCGGGGCCTGCGAGACATTACATGAAGAAGACTGCTACACACAGGGGAGAAGGCGCCAAGAGAGCAGGCTCTGTCTGCTGCACTGATGCAGGTCGTTAAGTGCGTTGTACTATGTTGCTGTTATCCTCAGTTGTGTCGCCATCAGCATAATATGTCGGAAATTCACGGAGGCTAAAAATATATAAAAATAATAAATAAAAAAAATCATGGAGGCTAGAAGAAGAGGGTGCAGCCCCTCTGAAGAGCAGTGAAGTTATTGTACATCTTCCTTCGGTAATGTCATCTACAAGCGTCCTAGAGTGGTAGGTACTCCGTCTGGGCACAGTTTTCAGCTCCAGAAAGGTCTCTTAGACTGGTTGTGCCTCCTACTCTCCGACTACCATCACCTACTCGGATCCCTTGGGCCGCGTTGCGCCGAGTTGTACCATCACCTGGGCACAGTTTTTAACTCCTCCGAGGTCTCTTAGAGTCGTAGACTGGGTGTGCCTCCTACTCCCCTCTCTGACTACCATCACCTACTGTCTCAGATCCCTTGGGCTGCGGTACACTAAAGTTGTACCATCAGCTGGGCACAGTTTTTAGTTCCTCCTACCGTCTCCGATCCCTTGGGCCGTGTTATGCTGAAGTTGTACCATCACCTACCGCCTCGTATCCCTTGGGCGGCGTTGCGCTGAAGTTCCGGTCTGCCTCGTATCCCTTGGGCGGTGGTACGCTGAAGTTCCGATCAATCGACCGAAGTAATGCTGGAGAGTATGTCTTGTTCGAACGGAACGGGCCGAAGGGCTACATCTTTTGCAGAGAACACATCTTTTGCAGCTGTTCTCTGCGTCCTCTGCTATATCTGCTGCTGCTGTTCCTGGTGTCCTGCGCTCCCATGGCGGACGCTTATACTTTCCATTCATTTGGTTGAGATCGCTTCAGCCCACATCTCCATTCATTTGGTTGAGATCGCTTCGGCCCACATCTTTTGCAGCTGTTCTCCGCGACCTCCGCTATATCTGCTGCTGCTGTTCTCGGTGTCCTGCGCTCCCATGACGGACACTTACACTTTCCATTCATTTGGTTGAGATCGCTGCCGAGGAGTCCCTGTTGGTGCCATGAGGGGAACGGCAAGCAACTTGGTGGCTCTCTCTTATGGACCCTTTCATTCCGTATCTCTGATGGGCCCCTCCCCTCAAGTTCGCTGCTGCCCCTTTGCGTCAGCTCCTGTGTGGAGTAGAAGAGCAGCCTTGTGTGGTCAGGCCAGGGACGGGCTCCCTCCACTACACAATTTCCCAAAGGTATCTTGAGCTGCTAATGGTCCTGATGCTTTCGAAATATTGTTTGGGTCGGAGTCTATCTGGTCAAGCTAGATATGTGCAGAAGCAGCAGAACGTTCGTGTACTGGACAGGGTGGGTTATGCCTTTCACTTCCAAGTGAGCCATTGGACTGAGATTTGAAATTTGCTCTCTCTATTCTTAGGGGTAATAGGGAAAATAGCTGGTGTTAAACTGCATTTGAGACGAGAGAAGGGTACAATTTGTCAACACTCGCAGAACGAAACGTAGGAATTCTTTTCTTTTGTATGAAGTCTTTTCTTTCTATGCGTGGAAGTCTTTTTCTTTCTATGGGAAGTGTAAGCGGATGAATGTTATGTACAAATGTTATGTACAAATGTTATGTACGAATGTATGAATGTTTTTTGTACAGGAGGTGAGGGTGTTGGGTATATGCTTCTGTATGCCCACTCTCCATGCCTACCACTGAAGGAGGTAATCAAAGTTTTCATCTTCCGTGTAAGTTCAGTGTATGGAATTGGGATTTGTTTGTGCGACGGACATGCACGTTTTGTGAAACACATTGCATGTGGCTGTCGCACTCCCATGACTCCCATGAGTCCCATCTCTCTCCCCCTTCAAAAGAACATGAAGGAAACGACAGGACAAAAAGCATGCATGCGTTTTCACACGCAAACCCATTCTAGGAGAATGAGTAGGAAAACAAAAAGAACGGGGCATGACAGCTGCCACTCTCAAACCGCTATCTCTCTCCAGAGT